CAATAGATTGCATACTTTTGCTGAGACACCTAAGGTGGAGTTGTCATGCGTGGCGTATGTATTCGACGCGAGTACCGAAGCAGCTATTATATGGTCAGCTGTGGGTTGGGAAGCGGCACGTGGGAACTGAAGCTTCGTTACTAGGATATGAACAAAATGAGCCTATCGCTTTCTACTCTTGACTACAGGTAAGGGAATCGAAGGTGCTTGGTCGGCATGCACGGCACGGTCTGCTCAAGAAGGCCGTTAAAGAGCCGCACGAGAACCCCCTCGTGCATGCAGAGCAGAAGCGGCACTTGCAAAAGAGATGGGCGCCGGTGAGTTTACTCCATCAACATCACGTGCATGGTGATGTAGCACCTGCGGTCGCGAGTGCCTGAGTCAGGCAGGCCTAGTAAGCCATGAGCGAGGCCACTCGGATCAACACTGAAACCACGACGAGTCCTGAACCGAACGCAGGCAGAACCGGTGTAGCGTTGGCAGCTACGCTGCATTCGAGTCAATAACCGCGTGCTTGCGTGCTGCGTCTCTTTAATTCGGGTGGTTTTGCTACAAATAAATAAATAAATAGTTTATCGTAAGTGCTATGTTTTGGTCCCAGCTGCTCACAAGCTACATTGCACGGTCTAGGCCGGAAAAGCACCATGAGCTTTTCGCCCTATTGGTGCTCGTCAGTTGTGCGCTTTCCCTCAGTCCCCTAATGGGGATCAACCATATGACCGCCACAAGCGAATGCAACTAGCCAGCAGGTTACGCCACTGAGCCACGGGGGACGACAGCGAAGCTACACAGTTTGCAAGCTAGCTGATATATAACGCTACCTACCTTCTAGTGCCACGCAGGTTGCTAACTTAGCAGCTGACAGTGGCTAGGCCCCGAAGGTCATGACTTCCGCTTACTAGGCGCTGCGTCCATAGCATTTGAAACTAGGAGCGGCTACATTCTATAGTACTAATGAGTAGGAGGAACTTCTTAATTGTAATTGTAAGGTTTTCGTCTCAGTTTATTCTCAAATTTATCTAGGCACATTAAGCCATGCATGCTCAAAAGTTACAAGCAATCATATTTCGCAACAGACACGTTACTATATGTGTAGTCGGCAATAGCCAATTGTTGTAATCGCTGCGGAAATGGAAGAATTAATCATGAGGAATATAGTTGTTAGTATGTTCAAGCTTGCATAGGGCAAACAGTCGACGCAATACCATTGCAGTGAAGACGGTAGATGTCGACAGAGGATCTTCCTTTTACTTGTCAAAAAATTATTGAAATATGATTCTAGACAATGTGCAAGCATATAATTGGGGGCGGTGCCTTTATTCAGGGGCGAATCACATCCGCCATGTCGCAGTGTTATTAAACGGTCTTTCGTGGCGTTCTATAAGGAAAACGCTTGCCGTAAATCCTTTTTAACACCACTGTAAACTGCCAAAGCAGTTTGCCGACTAATTAAACATGGTTATTCGCAGTCGCAGGACTTTCACTTTCCTCCGTTTGGTTGGCCTGATGGCTTGGTCAGGGCCACCGTAGTCGTCGATGCTGGTCGAGGATGGATGGGGCACGTGACGGAGAGTTGAAATGTTAAGTGCCCAGATGAGTAAAATTTTCAAACTTTTAGGTATCTGAAATAGTTTGATCATGTAAACCTTTCGGGAGTTTGAATACATAGTGTCCAGCAATCCACAATGGATAAATAAATAATTAATTAATTAAACGTTGTATTCCTCAGCAGTGCGAGGCACAGACCAATTGAGTGGTCTTATCAACATGTAAAACGTGATCGCATAATATAGTTAATTATTCGTCTTTTGATCAATGGTTCCCATTTGGGTTTTGAAATTCATTAGCAGTTTGAAAAAAGTAGAGAGAAAAAGAAACTGGGATTAATAATAAATGTAGATTTCACGGAAAGTGCAAGTAAAGTAATACGGTCACCCATGGAACTGTCCCCAGGGGACTTGCTTCCATGCAGGGTATTCCCACGATGGGTTTCACCCGCACTTCCATGCTTTAATTGGCTCTGTGCCGGGGTGGTAAGATAGTAAATAGGCCATCAGAACTAGGTATCAAGTGTTCTTTTGCTTTAGGGCTGCTTTATGCATACATTGTAGGCGATGAAGCCTCAGCCCATTCTGTCATGCGGACCAATCATGTATGGCACATTTTTTGTTTTAAGCCAGCGAGTCAGTAGTAATATGATTTGCATGGATATACTTTTTATTTTGGAAGCTGTAATCCGTCACCACAAGAGATCAGCCTAGTCATGACCAACGGTGAACCAAAGAAGAAGATAAAGTATGAGGAATTATAAAACACAATGATGAATACAAACGCTTGCCGATAGGCCAGTCACAATTTGATGGAAACTCTTGACGAGTGACGACGATGGTACAGAGACATCAGCTTGAAAGGCGTAGTGCATCTACGAACCAGGGCGACAAAGGAGAGAACAGAATTGGTTAGAGAGACTGATAGGAGTAGGATCTTTCTCAAATATATACTAAAGAATTCAACTATATTTAAGTAATGTTATATTATTGAAGCGAATAGAGGATATGGTGGCTTTCATATGTATCCAGGACTTTTCTCGTACAAATCATCTAGAGTCACCTTTACGGTCGCGGTGGTGCGTGCAGTTGAAACCTTTTGGTGTACAGCCTTGATCCATATAGATCTTTGTCGGTTGTTACGTTCTGTACCGGACGGAAACGCTGTTCCTAAGTCCGTTTCCGGAACCCAAGGAGTTTTGACCTCGGAGAAAAGGGAAAGGGAGGGACAACCTAATGATTTTTATCACATATAAAGGTTTAAAAGCACAATCCTCCATAAAATTGTACACGACCCTTGAAATACCTTAGTCAACTTCGATAACCTTTTCGCGTTGGTGGCATTTTCTTAAAATATATTTCGACGTCCTGAAATTATGGCGGATTTGGCATAACCAATTTATTTCTAATGCTCATTTAGCATAGTGTTTGGTCACCGTATCTGTATGCATTATTGGATTTATTTTATTGCTTCACGTCCTTCCAAATGCTTGGCTGTTGCTTGATATCCCCAATGTGGCTGCGCTTGATGTGCATACTGACAAGGTAACTACATGTCAATTACCCACTAACTCGTTCATACTGGCTCCAGGAGACAGTTGGTGTTTGCTGGAGGGGACGGGTGCACGGTCCTCGTGGTCATGCTAGGCTGGAAGGTTGTGCACATGCACACCGTTTGGAGCTGATCAAGTTCAAGCCAACGCTTTTTGTTAGCTTGATTCCCTAACTACAGCGACCCTGTGGTTGACGTGAAGAAGTATCAACAAGCTCAGCTGAAAAGACGTGGCTTCCATCCACATGCCTCCCGGTCTTATACCTTCGGGTTTACACTGGATATGGGATTTGTGGTCCTAGCTGTGGGCGGTTCAGAGCAAGCGAACCATGGACCCTCTGTCGGCGCAGGCGTCTTGTGGAAACAGTGACAGGTAAATCCGAAACCGGATGCCGCCAGAAACTAATGTATATATATATATATATATATATATATATATATATATAAATCGTTTTGGCCTAGCATTTATGTAAAATACACCTTTATTCGTTTAAATAATTAACTATAACCTTTATGGTATATTTACGTGACCAAATACGCTTATTCATACTGTAAGAAATATACAGCACTTTCTGTTTCCAAATCGCATGCAAGTACATTAGTTCTTCACAAATAATACCTAATTTTTCCTCTAATTGCCCATGCTAACCATGTCGATGCTTTTCATGTTTGGCATCAGAAGTGAATCATTATTGCGGAACAGCCAGTGCTTTTCTTCAATGACCTTCCAGAACAAGCGGACAGACAGAAAGGGGAGTGGAATGATTACTCCTCAGTTCCTGTCATGCAACGGAGCTTAAGCATTTAACTAACTTGTCGACTGGGTTGGTATTCATATTTAGACACTTTTGGCATTTCATTAGCTTGATAACAGATAGCTTTACAGATTATTCGCACTCTGTTAGCTTATGCGTTTAAAGCAGGAGTGACTGTTACATGGACAGGTAGTTAACAATTTTTTTAGTATAAGCGAGTTCCGTGCGTACTCCGATCTTTAATACTACTATATTATTATTTTTCTCTTACAATCCGTAACAAGAAATTAAAACCTCCTTCCATCGTTTCTGTTGTTACGTGATACGCTCTCTGTGAAACTGTCTCCTGGGTCTATAACGATTAGCGATTCTGTAACGAAATAGAAACCGCGATTGTTGCACGAATATATCGCCACTATTACACGCTTTCGTTCCATTTACTTACAGGTATGTACGAAGAAAACAATCTTGAACTCATGGAATAGTGCCCTGCTACTTTGAATCGTTACAAATGAACCTGTTGTTTATATAAGTATACACCTCCTCCGGCTTAGATTGCACTAGTATCGGTTTCGGATGCAACCGTCGTGTTTTATCTCGTGTACTTCCTCGTGCCGTGCTTCGGAAATGATTGAATAACGTGAGAGCGTGCGACAGTCTGTGGCGTATAGCTTGCCCGTTATCTTGTTCGTTGTGCACTCACGCGTAACTTATCGCTCTTTCAGCGTCCCTCCGTCCGTTGGCCCTCACCACCCACCTCGTTCTACTTGCTGCACTTCTTGGAAACCCTATTAACCAATTAGCAAGTACACGAACTAAAAAGGGCATTTTAAAACAATTGTAATATCCATCTAGAACAAGCAACACATTTTCTAAAAATAAAGGTGTAAGTTCCCACAACTGTGTTGCAACACATGGTATATGATAGTCATGCGGATTAATGATCTCATCTTCATTCAACGGCGCTACTTCGGGATAGGTACATGTGCAGAATAATGAAAAACTGGCAAGTATTTCTGATAACATAATATTAATCCAGCTAACATTCTCGGAGGAAGCTTGTAAAGATACAGAATCGAACGTAAAAGGGCGAATAAAATTGTGGTTTTTGGGAAAACTCGCGCGGTGATCCTGATTGTCACCTGCATGAATCCCTCTTCTGAAGTTTCAAAACGTAAGCCGGCAACACATTAGTTGGTTCGCACTGCATAAGCTTCTTACTGTACTATTTGTTTAACCGAGTCAATACTAACTCAGAGGCCTTTTTTAACTGCCGGGTGACTGAATTTGCCTTAGGTGTTTTCGCACCTTACGGTCTATTGACCCGAGGAGTTCCTGTGACACACGGAAGGGTAAGATGCAGCTGAATTGCAGTTTAACTGTCGCTGTTGCTTCCTCCTATTTTCGCTTGATGTTTTCTCTCCGATAATAGTGGTAGCACTCTTTTCCAAAAAATTTCTTACCAGCTTCTGGCTCAAAATCAGAAGTAAAGCGAGAAGCAGGATCGGTACGATTTAGAACCAATACGCGAATATAAGGCCAACATCCGATGTGTGAAGAACACCAAAATTAACGCTAGGGAAAATTTATTAAGTGGGGCGAAACACTATCTAGTGCTAAAAATAAGGCACCGGAAGATAGGTAGCTAAGGGAAAGGTGTGGTCGCGTGCGCGGAAAGCAAAGCTGGCCGCGGAGCCGATGAGCGTCGTGCCGTTCGAAGGCGGATGCCATGTTGACTCAAACAAACGCGAGCAACGTTCAAACAGGCGAGCGGCTAATTTGCTATGTACATCGAGAAAATATAATTTTGTGATTTTGTAATATTTTACGCAGCATGCGGCAGCCAAACAGGGGAATCTCCAGGTCACTACACAGCCCCCTCTCTTAGAAGGGAACCGTGGGTGACCCTTCGATCTACGTGAGGACTGTCCGTCGCCGGCCAGCCTTCTGCGAGACCAGGCGGTGAAACCTGATGCAGCTGCTGGGGGAGAACCAATGCGATCGGACGCTAGGGGGCTCTTACCCGTGTCCTCCCTACAGGTGCCAAAAACACAAAATGGGGGGAAACGTTCGTAGCGTTCGAGTGCGTAGTGTCCCAGCACATGATGTTTGAGCACGTAGTGTCCGAAAACGTAACGTTCGATTGTCGTTGAACGTCCGCGTGTCGGGGATATGAAAAAGAAGCGGAAACGAGGAGTGCCAAACAGGTGCGAGCGACAGAGCTAACAAAAGGCGATAGCACTTAACGAGTGCGATAAGCGAATAAAGCGAGAACCATTTTGTGTTTTCAAAACGATTTTCTCCTTTTTAGGTTTTCAAAACGTTTTTGCGGTTTTTGGGGTTTTCAAAACGCTTTGCAAATTTTTTGGGTTTTCAAAACTGCCGTTTGTTGGGCGGGTTAGGCCACAAGCAAAAGGGAAGCGGGAAAGGAAGAATGAAAAGAAGACTACTCTTTTAATCGCGCTGGCCAATGAACCCGCCTACCTGACCTAGTCGATTTCGGACGTTCGGTCGGAGGCGTTGTCGATCCAGCAGTTTTGTCGGATGAGGAAGCTTTCGGCTCGATAGAATCGGAAGGAACTGAGTCGGAAGGGTTAGTCGAAGAATGCTTCGTAGCATCGGAAGTAGGCGTGTCGTCGATCATAGGCTGCGTTGACTCGTCCGAAGGTGGACGGGAGTCATCGTCGATCTCAGGTTCCACATGGGCAACCTTGAGACGGTCGATAGAGACAGTTTCACGTTTACCGTGGCGGTTAATAACGAATACGCAGTCCTTACGTTTAAGAACCTTAAATGGACCTTCGTAGGGTCGTTCGAGTGGTCTGTGTAGACCATCGACTCGAAGGAAAACGTAAGCGCAATGCAGTAGATCTTGTGGAACGAACGATTTACGTCGTTGTTCTCGCACGTCGGTTACTTTTATATGGCGCATGCTCGTGGCTAACTGCCGAGCGTAATTCGCATCGTAGCGGGGTGTTCTGGGGTTTCCAGAAAAGAAGTCCCCAGGTAGTCGAAGAGGTTGTCCATATACCAGTTCGGCGCTGGACGTGTGCAAATCAGCTTTAAGAGCTGATCGGATACCAAGTAGTATCATAGGCAGTGCTTCGGTCCAGCTTAGTGCATTAGCGGCACTAAGTGAGGCCTTCAGCTGTCGGTGGAAACGTTCCACCATGCCGTTGGATTGCGGGTGATAGGCGGTAGTCCGGATGCGTCGACATCCGAGGACTTTGAGAAGATCGTTGAAGGTCGAGGATTCGAACTGCGGACCGCGGTCGGTAGTCACGGTGGCTGGACAGCCATGTGAAGCGACCCAGCGCTCAACGAAAGCGCGCGTTACGGTGTCCGCGGATACGTCGGGTATAGGTACGGCCTCGGGCCAACGGGTGTATCGGTCGATCATGGTCAGAATGTAGACCATTCCTCTGGATGGTGCCAAGGGTCCAACTATGTCGAGATGGACATGGGCGAGGCGAGCTGAGACTTGCGGAAAACGACCAAGCGGAGCGGACACGTGTCGCTGTATCTTGGCCTGCTGACACGTTAGACAACCGCGTGCCCAGCGCTTAAGATCGCGTTGCATTCCGAGCCAAACGTATCTCTCGGATATGAGCTTGATCGTGGCTCGGATGCCTGGATGAGCGATGTTATGAAGTGTGTCGAAAACTAGACGTCGAAAGGTTTCTGGAACGACGGGTCGAGGTCGTCCAGTAGAAGTATCGCACAAGATTGTGCCATCAGATGACGGCAGTGGATGCGATGTGATTCGTAGCGAAGAATCTTGTTTGACGTTCTGACAGTCAGTGTCGGTTAGTTGCGCGGTAGCCATGGCAGATAAGTCGATTGCCTGGCCAGCGGTGTGGATTGCGGAGACGCGCGAAAGAGCGTCAGCAACGACGTTATTCTGACCTGAAATGTGTCGGAGGTCAGTAGAAAATTGAGCCACGAAATCCAGCTGACGAACCTCACGTGGTGAGTGTCGAGCTGATTGATTTCGAAAGGCGTAAATAAGCGGCTTATGATCGGTGAAGATAACGAACGAATTACCTTCTAAGACGTGCCTGAAATGTCGGACGGTAGAATAAACTGCCAGCAGTTCGCGGCTGAACGTGCTGTACTTGACTTCTGCCGGTTGTAAGCGTCGGGAGTAGAAAGCGAGTGGTTTCCAGCATCCTTCAGTGAATTGCTGCAGGACGGCGCCAATGGCGGTGTCCGATGCATCGACTGCAACGCTGAGTGGAGCTTTGGGGTCGAAATGGTGAAGCATAACGGCTTCAGCCAAGGCCCCTTTGCAGGCCTTGAAGGCTTCGGTTGCAGCGGGCGTCAACTCGACGTTGCCGTTCTTGCGTCCACGAAGTAAGTCGGTCAATGGACTGAGCAAGTCGGCACAACGTGGCAGAAATCGACGGTAGTAGTTGATCATCCCACTAAAACGGCGGATGGCGGCCAAAGTAGTCGGAACGGGAAAGTCCTTAATAGCGCTGACTCGGTCTTCGAGCGGCCGTATGCCATGCTGGTCAATTCGATGACCAAGAAATTCGATAGATGGTTGCTGAAAGATGCATTTGTCAGCGTTGACAGTAATGCTATTAGAGGCTAACCTCTCGAAAAGCATCTTGAGGTGCTCCGCGTGCTGTTCTTCGGAAGAACTAGCTACTAAGATGTCGTCTATATAAGGATAAACAAAGTCGAGACCTCTCGTGACAGAGTCTATGAAGCGTTGAAAAGTCTGAGCTGCGTTGCGAAGACCGAAGGGCATTCGCAAGAATTCGAAAAGTCCGAAAGGCGTGATGACTGCGGTTTTCGGAATGTCATCCTCGGCTACAGGGATCTGGTGGTAAGCGCGAACCAGATCGATCTTCGAGAACACACGGGCGCCACGTAGGCTAGCCGTGATGTCCTGAATGTGCGGAATCGGATAGCGGTCGGGGACGGTAGCGTTATTGAGAGCGCGATAGTCGCCACATGGACGCCAGTCTCCTGACTTTTTAGGCACCATGTGTAGAGGCGACGCCCACGGGCTCTTAGACGGGCGAATAATGCCTAAGTCTAGCATGTGCTCGAATTCGGAGCGTGCAATTTTGAGCTTGTCGGGGGTCATGCGCCTGGCTTTTGCGAACACAGGCGGACCTTTCGTAACGATGTGATGTGTCGCGGCGTCGGTTGCGGAAGGCAACGGGACGGCAGGACGGAAGGCCTGCGGAAAACTATCGAGCAGCGTTTGCCCGACGGGTGAACTAAGTTGAGTCGCGTACACGGGACTGATTGACGCGGTGTCGGTCAAAGTCCCAATGACTGCGAGATTCGTAAGGCGGTCGACTAGACGGTGTCGCTTAACGTCGACGAGTAGGTCGTAATGACGTAAGAAGTCGAGACCAAGGATAGGCGTTTGAACATCCGCAACGAGGAATATCCATTTGAAAGCGCGTCGGAGGCTGAGATTTAGCGTGCGCGAGCGTTGACCATATACGCGGATAATGGTCCCGTTAGCTGCGCGCAATGAGCTAGTCACCTTTTCGGTCGGGTCGTTTGGATCACGCGGGAGAACGCTGACTTCTGCGCCAGTATCGACGAGATAGCGAACTCCGGTTCTACGATCGGTGACGAAGAAAAGGCGACTGCGTTGACCAGCTACGTCCGTCGCCCCTACGTGCTGGTCCGCCCGTTTCCCTGCTGCTGTCGTTTGAAGGAACAGGGCGGGCGACATGATTTAGCTTGCTGGCCGAATCGTTCGTGGTACCAGCAGTAACCGTTTCTATTCGGTGATCGCGAAGGAGAGTTCGAACGTGAACGCGAACGGCTCCTAGAGCATTTACAGCGGTTATGTCCGGAGGCCGAAAAGTCTGCGAATTGTCGAGTCAATGTTGCCATCTGGGATTTAAGCGTGGCGATATCGTCGTCCGGTTTCGTCTGGATCTGCGAAACCTGGCCGTACGACTCCCAAATTCGGTCGGCTATATCGGCCAGTTTGGATAAAGGTGCATCCTCACTAGCGCAGAGGATGTGTAGCATCTCGCGCGAAAGTCGTTGCAACCACATTTCCCGAAGAAAAGAATCATCTATCGAAGTGGGTTTAGCTAGGCTCTGCATTTTTCGAAGCAGCTGAGACGGCTTAAGATCGCCAAGATCGGTTTCGTTGAGGAGTTTCGTAACTCGTTGTCGATCGGATAAGCCTGTTCTTCTCAGAACAGCTGTCTTGACTGCATCGTAAGTCTTTTGGTCGTCAGGAAGATCTAGAATGTCATCAATGTCATCGATGACATTTAGCGGAAGCGCAGAAACGACAAGGTGGAACTTGGTCTTTTCGGACCTAATACCACGCAAAGATACTTGCGACTCTAGCTGACCAAACAAAGACTTAGGATTAGTCTCGCGAAAAGGTGCGATAGGAAGCGTAACTGTGCCGATCTGAACGTCAGAATCTACGCGATCAGTTTCCATAGCGAGCAAAATAGCGAGCCAGCGAGATTAAACCGGAAAATGAAAAGTGAAAATCAGACGGGTTAGCGAAAAAAATGTGGCCAAATCTGAAAAGAAAGGTTAGCGAAAACTCACCGGATAATGACCAAAAGTCGGGGTCACTAATAAAGCGAGAAGCGGGATCGGTAGGCTTTAGAACCAATACGCGAATATAAGGCCAACATCCGATGTGTGAAGAACACCAAAGTTAACGCAAGGAAAAATGTATTAAGTGGGGCGAAACGCTATCTAGTGCTAAAAATAAGGCACCGGAAGATAGCTAGCTAGGGGAAAGGTGTGGTCGCGTGCGCGGAGAGCAAAGATGGCCGCGGAGCCGATGAGCGTCGTGCCGTTTGAAGGCGGATGCTATGTTGACTCAAACAAACGCGAGCAACGTTCAAACAGGCGAGCGGCTAATTTGCTATGTACATCGAGAAAATATAATTTTGTGATTTTGTAATATTTTACGCAGCATGCGGCAGCCAAACAGGGGAATTTCTAGATCACTACAGAAGTACTGTGATCAGGCTATTGAGAGGTGCTTGTACTGAGGACAACAAACCGCCCAAAAGATATTTGCTCTGCGTTGCAGGTCCACGGGGATATTTGGACCTACGGTATTATTGCAACTGGATTTGACGAAACTCCGGACCGGAGGCACACGATAACAGTGAGTTCGCAAGTGAATGCCCCAGGTTGTTTTGGGTTATTTAACAGCTTATTTCCGCCGTTCCAATTTCTAGTTATTTTTATTTTTCCGTTTGATAAAAATAGCTGATGATATAGCGCCTTCTTCTGATGTTAACATCATACGATCAAGTGTTCAAGTTCAAGTGTAATTTCATTTGGAAAGGAAACTGCAGGGTAATCCTGTGAATATTTCTTCTTTTGCGTATCAATGAATCGGAAAGTAATAGGCATGCTTGAGATGTTTATAAGCTTAATACAAAGATCGCATCACACCCTGTCCAACCGATTACGGCCCATATTTTCCTGCCAGCAGTCCTTACTAGTATAGCGCGATGATCGTGCGCTATATATTCGGTACGAAACCAGACGGCCATTCAAAAGCAATGGGTAGAACACACAACTTAAGCGAGGGAAAAGTTTATTAGACGGGAGGTGAGTTAATTACTCCTAAAAATAGGGCACTAGAGGATAGTTAGCTAGCGAGGATGTAGTTGGGCGTCGAGTGCGTGGACGGAGCGTCTTTTGCAGTCGAGTTGCGCACCAAAAGCGGAGATCGTATTTGTGTTTCAAACAAACGGGAAGAACGTTCCAACAGGCAAACCGCCTAATTCCCTAATACATAAGAAAGCTATAATTTGAATATATTTTAGAATAATTTACTCAGCCATACGCGGAATCTCCAGGCCATTACACTAGGTCAGTTTATATGAAATAAGAGTGAATGGTAAACTAGAAAACGAAAGGAGGAATGTCGGCTACATAATGCTAATATTAAGGCATAAAAGGTATAAAAACGATCAGTAGGCCAAAGGTACAAGTCGGTTAGGAGAAGGGGAAGGTTTGGAACTACCACTTAACAATATCCTACTGACGCTCGAAAGACTCAGCCGTAGGTTCCCTGAAAACAAGCATTGAAGTGAGTGCGGACGTCCAATAACACGGCGCGACAAGCGATTTTCCTTTCTTAACCGATCAGAACTCAGTCTGTGCAGCTTTGACAGGTGAGCCCTGAGATTAGACAACTTGGCAGGACTAAATAGCTAGCTAAACCGATCTTATTTGTTACGATAAATTAAGTGAGAATCAAGTCTTCTCTAATGCACCAATAGGGCATTGTGTATATCCCAAGCTGAGCAAACGTTTGAGGTATTTTTGTCTTAGTAAACACTGCCCTAAACTTGTACCCACTCACAAAACCCTCTCCACTTTCATTATGTCTCTTGCAAGACACAGTCGACAAATCTGGATATAATATTCTATGCGCAGTTGCACAATAGCTAAGAGAAGCTTCACTAAATTATCTGCCATTAGGACACCGAAGGAGCGGCAAATAAACCACATCCTACGGAACCATCTACAAGTAGCCTTCCGTCAATTGTCCCCAAATTGAAGGACTGTGTGGACAACGCCTAGATCAACCTGCTGAGTAACAACAAGGATTTTGCTTTCACTAACAATATTGCGCGTTGGGGGACAAACAGCTTCAATGTGAAGAATAGGACACTTCGCCTGATTTATAGGCATCAACCTTAAGGTTGACCAATCCTACAGTCCATCCTAAGCAACCTGGATTCCTTTAACACTCTCAGGGATATCTACAATATTTCAGAGCTCCAGGTCATCCGAAAACAATAGCGACGGTACTTCAAGCTCCTGAGGTAGGTCATAGACCTAAACTGCGAAAAGCAACGGCCCTAAAATTTAGTCCTGCATATCGCCACTAAAAGGAGATTGTCTGAGCAAAAAAGCTACATCCCACGCATACACATTTCCCTCTAGAAAAACATACACCCATATAAAGTCGACATCACATATCTCATACGACCTCAATCCTACTGAGAGTCTGTGGTTCTGTGTTGCTCCTCCCAACCCTGACACCTCTATTGGAAGTCCTAGATATGGGACAGCAGCAAAGGCTATCGAGAAGTTAACGAAAAGCTAATCAATGGTGTGACCACTGTCTACTACCTTAGCCCAGGTTTCACAAGATAAAGCTGTCAGATACGAAAAGCCCTTAAGGAATCTGTGATGTGCAGCAGTGAGAAGGTTAAAAATATCCAGCAGGTTCTCCACCGAATCCCACAACAGCTTTTCAAACAAATTAACTAGTACCCTTGTCAACGTGACGGGCTGGTAGTTCGTGAGAACAGCACTGTCACCGCCTTTCAATATAGTACAAATTATTGCCTCCGTACATTAAGAAGGTAAGGCACAGCTGTCGAGCGATATTGTAAACATGCATGTAAGAGGATCACTTAATTCATCGGTCATTTCATGCATCAGCTTCGGATGACCTGAATCAGGGCCAGAAGCTTTGTAATAGCACGAGGACTTGTGTCCCGTAATGCTGATTTCATTTAAGCAAGTATCCTCCGGGACTCTTGTGACCAACTCAACTTAAGGTAAAGAAGCTGCACGAGCAAAGACACCAGTATACTGTTCAGTACGTGTGCAATGCCCTTTATGGTTGGTATTAACACGGGTTGCGTCCGCTCATAGCAACGCTGGTATAGACGAGTTTGTACTGCTACACCTCTTTAAGGAAGCAGAACTTCTTTGGATTTGTTGCTGCTGCGCCAGCTAAACCCTTCTCCTACTGAAGACGAGCAGTTCTGGGATCTTTCTTACATTTAGTTCTAAAAGCTTCATAGCATTGGTAGGTTGACGGAACCGCTTGGTAAGTTTGCCAGCAGTTAGTATCTTGTAGCGCCATCCGAGAATCAAAAAAAGTCTGGAAAACGTACAGTTTGATATTGAAGCATAAGGGCATCGTTTTATACTTTGCACAAGTGGGGTATGGTTGTCTGCTGAAATTGGCTACTGCGACTTGCGTATTACATGGCGTTCCTTTGTCTGTCAGCTTCTGCTCCGTCTTCGTTTATTCGCCTTGAGCCACGGCTTGGTACGTCAGCTCCACTTTATAGGTCTGATCTGTCTTTCCTGCCTCGTCGGCTTGTGGATACCCCGGCTAAACCGATCCGCCAATGGGCCAACCGTGCTTCCTTGCTTTAGCTTGTTGATGTGTACAGTCGATTGGCCAATTTGCCACATGCCGCCAAAGTTCTTTCGGTCACCATTACGATGAAACTAGACTTCATCGTGTGTAATGGTTTGTTTGCATCAATGATCTTTTGAGCTATGCTGGGTTGTGCTTTGCACTTTCAGGGCCACTCTTACCAGATTGGTCAATGGTAAGAGACCAGATAAACTCAGTTTCCTTGCCCTCTGTGTTGGAGGTTAGAGTGAGGGTGGCCACTTACGCCATAAAACGGGCTCTCTGTAGTCCAATGCCGAAACCCTGCTGCCTTATGGTCAAATTTTTGAACCAAAGGCTTTGGATGAAAACCCTAATCGTTCTCTTGTCTTGGTGTAGGCAACTTGATAGTATCCTGTCCAGACAATACACGACTTTCCTTTTAACAATTTCTTGATGCTCTAGCCGTTGCAGAGGATAACAAACGTCGTCCTGTCTACCGCATCGAGCAGGGTGGATAGGATTTGGCTGATACTGCTCAGGCCTTCTCGCCTTCGTACTCACTCTCGCGCCTTTTTATCCTTAGAGTCCCGCTCTAACTTTACTTTTATCCCCATCTTTCCAATCATTCAATGCTTGGCCTCCCCCACCTTGCTTTAAAAGTCTCTTGTCTTCTAGTTTCAACACAACAATCACCTGGCGCAGCTCCAGTCCAGTCAACAAGTCCATGTTTAACCAAGCGGACAACATCAGTTCAACCGTTTTCCTTTGCAGTACTCCAGTCTCGCTAAGACTGGCATGACTCAACGTGCGCACTTTGCTACAGATTTGCCAACAGGCAGAACTTGACCGCACAGTAGAGACCCTATTGATCGCCATTTGCTCATTTTCGGAAGCGCGCCTGCAAGCTTCGAGCTCCGTGCTTACTCTGCGCTCCCCCACATGCGACACTGGCGTCACATTTACATTGCGTTTGTCTGGCGGTGACGCGGCTTCGAATGCAGATCAAGCTAGCGTCGGCATCGTTTTGAGTCCCTGGGCTAAAGCTGCCCTGATCGAGTGGATTTCAGTCAACAGCCGGATATGCGCCGTTAGATGAGCACTTCGAAGTCGAAAGGGGACAAACGATGCTTGTTTAGCATTGCAGCTTACGCTCCCACAATATGCAGCCCTCATTCGATGAAAGATGATTTCTGTCACCGAAGTAACAATCTCCTTTGCTACAGAACATACACGGATACTGTGATGCTTGCTGTTGATCTAAAGGACCAAGTCCGAAAATCGTCCTATGATGAGCTTAATCTGGGCGGCCAACATGGTATAGGCTCCGGGAATGACAACGGTGAGCGGTTGCTACACCTGGGTGAAGAGGCTCGTAACTTTCTCGCAAGCACTAACTTTCGACATAGCATCCGCAGTAGAAAAACTTGGCGCCCACCAGCCATGGACGCAAAATCAATCACATGGCGATTAGTTACCGCTGGAGTGTCTGCGTACAAAACTATTCGCTAGAGTTGGAGCACAAGAGTGGACTCCAATCACACTCTTGTGTGTGTGTGCGACCTTCGGGTGCGTTTCGGCAGACTGCGCAACATCGTTCTGATTACAATGACAGCAGCCAACCGGCGAAGCCAGGGGTTCTGAATGAGGATCAAAATACGCTAGCATCCGGGCTGAGGAAGCGCCCACTGAACACCGTCGAAGGTCCCAGGTCGCTTATTTGCCAAACGTTACTACCAGCAGGCATGTGTTTATGTGGAAAATCAAATTGCCAACTTAGATATTTGGTCTCTATAAAATCTCTGAAACTTGTGAGTGCTCGCCGACGTATTCCGGCTGTAGGCGAACACAGTGCAACTCGCAACAACCTCATGGCAAAATTGCGTGTTAGCCTGAAAAGAGACCGCGAAGCGTAGTGGTCTCATCGTGCATCGGAAATGAAAACAGCCGCTGCCATTGGTAAGCGCCGTAAGTTATTCCGTCTGCTACGTGAAACAGGCAGCAAG